TGAACCTAGCACACAACAATGGCATTATACATTGTCTCATCGCCCTTAGAAGGTTCGGTAACCTAAAAGTTACGAGAACGCCATCAGTTTTTCAATATGAAGGGGATTATTTGAAGTTGTAAATAAGGATAATATATAATCATCAGAATTGCCCGAACTAACTGCACGTGAATGACAGAGTTAAGTATTACTCGCAGTGAAATAATGTACAGTAGTTTCACAAACTGACTGGATGTGTCCAATCAAACCACATTTAAAACATGTACCATTACGAAGTATACACGCATCACATAAGTAAAATTGACCTCAGGACAAACATTTACCGAACTTGTACTTATCTTAGTGGCCTGATTCGCAATTCCTCGATGAAATGTGATCTGCATGATCTTGAGTATGTATTGAATTGGGAGTTCTTGATGTCCTAAAAGTCAATTTCACGTACTGTCTCATAATTAATATACGCATTTATAGCATTAATAAAGGAACACTTCGATACTTGCATGGGCTATCCTTCCAGATCAGGCATGTTTATCCCTTCAGACAACCAATCAATCGATCGATCGACCCCATAGATGGATATGACGTTTATCACCAAAATTGCATTCGGCAGCTTGTTTCATAATTCAGTTATACATTCTCCAACGTTCTGGTTATTCTGGCGAATCATTTTATGAACGTCTGCTCTTTCACAACATCCGAACCTGGTGCACTTCACATAATTTAATAGTAGTTCATTAAGAGTTGCATAAGGAACTGAGATCGGCTTATCTGGTAATGCTGAAGTTTTTAATAATCTGTAGACTTTTCAGATGAATGTAAGAGACTTAGCCATTATTTTATCACACTGCAGATCTTCCTTGGTCATGCTCCGAATTTCATACTTGTTCAAATAAACCTCAAAAGCTTCAGAAGTTAAATGAATGTCCAATTGTTTCATTACAGGCTCCATCACGACGCCAGTATGATAATGAGGAGTATTTGAATTACAGAACGAATTAGGAATCCCAAAAATAACTTAATTTAATCAAGAATTACTAGATGAGCACGAATGATCGTCTTGTATTTGGTATTCGAAACCAAACAGTCAACACGTACAAAGGAATCGTTAATTTTTACTAACATTAAAATTCTCCAACCTTTCGGTTATTCTAACGAAGCATTTTTTTAAAAGTTTGTCTTTCGCGACATTCAAAGCTAGTACACTCTTCATGATTTCACAGTAGTTGTTTGAGAGTTACATACGTAAGTGAAATAGGCTTGTCTGTGAATGCTAAAGTTGTTATTAAGCTGTAGGCTTCGTTTCCAATGAATATGAGGAAATGAGTGACAATTTTATCATCCTTAAAATCTTTCCTAGACATACTACACATTTTAGACCTTCCCATTTAATCTTCAAAAGGTTCAGAATTTGAATATATATCCAACTGTTCAAACACAGGCTCCATCTTGATACTAGGAATTCCTGAAATAGTTCAACTCAAACCAAATAGAACTGGCTGAGCACAAACCATCGTATTGTATCTACAATTCGAAATCATTTAGGAATCATCTACAAAAAAATCATTAGTTCATACAAATACTAAATTGTAGCATTCCGCCAATTTCCAATGTGAGAAACAACTAACGGATGAACAAAAGACGTTTGGCAACGTATTTTATTCATTTCACAATTTCAGTCATGCAATACACTACACTGATTCTGTGTGTATATATGTGTACGTGTGTGTGGACCAATAATTTCAGCCAGAACACATTCTCTTGATTAAAGTACTATATAGTTCAATCCTGTTATACATCACCAGTAACCTTGAACTCATATTCACTGAGTGAGTGATTCCAAATGAATTATACTCAATGTGACATTGAATTCACTATATGGTTCTAATTAACAAATGGAATTCAGTGTGTTGTTTTAAAGCTATCAATGATTGTTTATGTTGTACTTATCATAAAGTAAACTGATAAATGACACGTTTTCAACATTAACTGAAAGATATAGACAATTCCTTCTTCACAACCAGTTATAATCATACTTAACCCACACCCTATTATCATTAACTGAATACTATTGGTTACTTATCCGCTTACTCATTTGCATTCCATCGTCTACTGGTTTCATTAGTTATACTCAGATATTTTTGATCGATATCAGTTTCTTCAACAGTAATATATAAATTTCTAATAAGAGATGGTTTTCATTGTGTTTAGTCCAGTGTCATTTCGTTTACCAAAATGAAGGTGATTAATGTTTGGTTACTGTTCATCATTACCATTGTGTTCATAGTTCTCGTTCATTCTGATGATCATTGTAAGTGAAAGATTTAGTAGACATTTTCTCTTATCCCTGTGAACTTGAATTTATTAATCAAGTGGACCCATCCATGCCTTTAATATTATGATCATCTAAAGCTCAAATATGTATGATTGATGATAGTAATACTGGATTCTTGCTGTTTAATACTCTGAAAGTCATAGCAGTCATATGTTAGCAAATTCCATAAATTCGTTAATAGATTGCTTTCTCTATCCAACAGTTTATTTTAATCTGTTTTTTCTTCGTATACGTCCATCTGAAGTGACGTGTAGCAATGTGGATGACTCTCCCGCCTCCCACATTGTAAGACCATCCCATCTACTTAAATTAATGGTTACTTTGATTGTCGGAAGGGGTATCAGCCTGGTGACTTCCAAAGGAAATCGGCTTTCACCATGAAGCATCCTAGATGAAGACCTTATAACTCTCAGGGTAGAAGTTAGATGGTTTGAATTATTTTTTCAGGTTAGCGCTTTTTAGCAAGTTAATTTTCTAAGGGATGTGGTCGCTAACTTCATGCCCAACCCTCCTTCTTTATTCAGGTTTGGAACCGACAGTAGCCTTAGGAAGCAATCTGGGGGAATTATCTGCAGTGAGGTAGTTGGGATGTTATCTTACTGTTTAATGATAACAGATGATTCCCAACATGTTCCAAGCCAATGTGATGTGTGAACATCTTCAACAAAACTTCGTTATCAGTATTTTGCCACCGATCAATACACAAAGTAAGAAAGAATATAGTGAACAGAATGAATACTTTTAAGATGAAAATATGTTACAACTAAATTAAAATTCACAAAACGGAATCAGTTCATTATACGGAATACATCATACGAAGACTTAAGGTAGTCCTCCGCACTTAACAATCTTGATCAATTTAGTAATACTTACTTGCTTTCTTGCGCCTGTTACTCCTCGTGAAAGAACATAGACCGCTCACCAGCATTCTCTATCCAACACTGTCCTGGGCAATCCTTTCCAGCTCTTTCCAGTTGTTATTCATCCTCTTCATATCTGCTTCTATTTACCGACGTGATGTGTTCTTTGGCCTTCCTCATTTCTGTTTCCTTTCAGGATTCCAAGTTAGGGCTTGCCTCGTGATGCAGTTCGATGATTTGCGTAACCAGCTGGAAGCTGGTTTGTTTTCTCCCACAGAAGGCTGTTGCTGATGGTATCCGGCCATTGGATGTTGAGTATCTTGCGTAGAAAACCATTTACAAATACTTGTACCTTCTTGATGGTGGTTGTAGTGGTTCTCCACGTTTCAGCTCCGTACAGCAGAACTGCCTTGACATTCGTATTGAAGATTCTCACTTTGATATTGGTTGAAAGTTGTTTTGGGTTCCATATGTTCTTCAATTGTAGGAATGCGGCCCTTGCTTTGTCAATCTTCACCTTTACGTCTGCATCTAAACCTCCTTGTTCATCGATGATGCTTCCCAGGTATGTGAAGGATTCTACATGTTCCAGAGTTTCACCATCAACAGTGATGATATTGCTGTTCTCCGTGTTGTATTTGAGGACTTTGGTTTTCCCCTTGTGTATGTTGAGGCCTGCTGATGCAGAGACTACTGCTAATTCAATAATAACAAAAATATAAAACAATTTAGATATCATCGTTAGAACGACTTTTGTGTAGATACTCTATCTTTAGAATGATCTAGATTGTTATGTAATCTAAATATCGTACAAATTATCATAAAACATATATACAAAGGCATGAATTGAGTCTTTGACGTCAGTTCAGTTAATAATGACGTATGTACTATCATAATTTGGTTATGAATATTTTACTTTCTTCTTGTTCTTCATTTTGTATACTTACGGCAAAAATTCATTCTATTGCAGCATTCAAATTACCAGAATGTAAGTGATACAAAATCAATATCTTTTTGATATTTTCTTGTTTCATGAAACAACATACAAACTTATCATGAATGTAACATAATTTCATGGGGATTTTCTTGTTGAATTTGTAGCGAAACCTTTAGTCTACCACAGAAAATGCTACAGAATAGGTGAGGATAAAAAATTGTTGATGTATATTTATGTGTATCTTATAACTTGTCATCCGATAATAATTTATTACGATACGATTGACAACTAAAGAACAAACACATCTCGATCGGACAAAAGACGCAGTAACGTGTATAGGCAGCTTATAGATCTTACAGGTCCTTTAACTACCTAGCCCTGTATAAAGATGTTCAGAACGTCAATCTCGGCCTACACGATCCTATCGGATACTATTAATTTTTCTCGTACATATAAAAGAAATATTTGATGAGGAAAATCAAATAACATGACGGAATATGATGAAGTCAATGATATGGAGGAAGGAACATGATGTAGGTAGAAAGTAAAAAAATGATCAATAAGATAAATAAGTTGCAAATCACTATCAAAATTATTTGCAGGGTTTCGTTAACATGAAATGAATAATATAACAGGCAAACACGAAAACACTGGAATAAATAAGACTAAGAATGAGGCTGGAATGTATAGTGTAGAATGTATGAACGTGATTACCGAGGATGCACTTTCAAATTCAATAGAAGCAACAAACTTGAATTGAAAAACATAAAAAAAATTGCATCCTTAAATTACTTAAATTGATATTGTTTTTAATAAATTGGCTGGAACTGCAACCGTAGTGCAAACTAGTGAACAAGTTACCACAAAACAAATGCTGCCTAATCAGACAATCATTGAACATACGAATACAGAAGAAATGACTACTGGGAATACAAACGATGAAAAACGTGTGGAAGTAGAGACGGCCAATGAACAACTGAACACAACAGAGCCGACTCCTGAACAAACGACCAAAGAGGGAGAAACCACTGAGAAATTGACTACTGCAGATGGTAAGTCCAGCCTATTTAATACACCTACATTTTTCCACTTATATATCAGTCGACAACACTATCAATCTGCATATATATACGCGAGTATATGCTCTTCAGAGAAGTAGACATTTAGTTTCATGTTATTGTTATTTTCCATCGCCATACTCTTTATTTTCACAATCAATGAATTAGTACTTGTTCGTCGTTTCACGCAAATCAATAATTCTACAGATCTTGTTATCAAACAAATGCATTTGACTTCAGTGTTTTCGCCGTGTTTATGACACATCGAACGCAATTGTTAAAACTGATAAACTGTAGACGTGACTTTCTCCAATTTTCCACAACAATTAACTAAATTTCTAGTATGAACAGCGTTTAAGTAAACATTGTTTGATATCATAAAGGGTTAAGATCCATGAACCCTACTGTTGCAAATCAGAAGATAGAAGAAGACTGGAGAAGTGCTTGTTGGGTAAGAAACAAAGTGTACAGAAAATCACGGGTATGTATAGGCATTAGAGTTTGTTATATCGACATCATGATTCAGTCGATCTGCAGAGAGGCATGTTATGAATGTTATGTCCAATAGTGGCATGTCACGTTGATGTTCTGATTGGATGTAAATCTTAGGATCGACGAAAACATTGCAATTGCTCTCCTTCCAGACGATTGTTTGGCCACTTAGTCGAATGATAGCACTTGACTCTGTTCAATGTGGTGGTTTTCTCGATAGCTTCGAAGGTAACCGGAAGTTCGTCGATTGCGTCACCCAATACACGACGAACTTCTTTCTCAGCCTTTGTATTTGCCACGAGAGTGTCTTCTGGCGTTTTTGACTGTGAACCTATTAATCTTGATAACGCGTCAGCATGCCGGGAATCGGCAAAATCGTAATCCAGGGTGTTGTTCCCCATAGTTGTAGCCGGCTAGCTGTGTGAACATTAGTGCCTTCCTTCGACCCAAGTACGTCAACTGATGGCCGACCAAATATTATCTTGTGGAGTAGTTCGCTGCAGGGATAATCGATAGAGCCTCTTTCTCGATATGACTATAGTTCTATCTTGTCGTTGTCAATAATCTGGTAGCACGGAAGATTTCTTTTTCGGACCCATCAGAGAAAATTTGAGGAATCACTGCTTCGATAACATAGTTAGAAGCATCTGAAGCAACCACAATTGGTAGAGAAGGATCCTGATGGAAGCTAGGAGTTGCTTGATTTTCTCGAAAGATGCTTGACATTTTGCCGACCAATCCCATTTTGTATTGTTCTTTAGCAGTCGGTCTATTGAGACACGCAGACGATGAACATCAGGGATGAAGGTGTCATAATGACTGGCCAATTTCAAGAAGTATGGTAGATTGAGGATTTCCCTGGGTCTAGGCGTGGTTTCCACACCTTCAATGGTCTCTGGATCCAGGTGTCTTCTATCTTTATCTTTTATCAAACCGAGAAACCGTAACTGCTGCGCATACAAGTCGCACTTTTCCGCGCAGAGGCGAAAACCATATCTGGCTATGTGCTCCAGCACCTGGTCCGGTTTCTTCTGCAGGTTCATTCTATTTGTTCCCATGATTATGACATAGTCTAAATAAGCTGCCACCCCTGGAAAAACGTGTAACATGTTATCCATAATTTACCGGAAATTAGGGGGCGCCGTCTTCACTCCAAAAGGTAGTCGATTATATAGGAACAGACTCTTGTGCTTGTTGATCGTTAGGAAATCTTCACTCTCATCAGATACAGGAACTTGTAAATGTGCGTTTAGTAAATCCAGTTTCGCAAAATACCTGACAATCATTACCTTGGCGAAGAGTTCTTTTGGTAGGGTTGAAGTATACTGGTGAGACTCTTGAGCTTCACTTACTCCGGTGGAGTAATCTGCACATGGACGAACGCTTCAATTAAAATCCTTGACCACCACTATTGGTGCTGCCTAATGTCAGACGTTTACAGGTTCAATAATACCCATTTTCTGAAACCGTTCTAATCTCTGCTCAACTACCGGAAGGGCAGCATGAGGCAGAGGTCTGTTAAGTCGAAAAACTTGAGCAGCTTCAGGTCTGACGTTTTGTAATGCCTTGGCTTTCATGCATTCTCCCAATCCTTCTGTCAACACATGATGGTGTTTTTGTAGCACGGTATTCTTCTGGTCTCACTCTGAACGTTATCAGTTCTGATTCGGCTGCATATGTTGTTAATCGAATGCTCGGTTAGTTTTAGTGCCTCTATCCAATCTAACCCCAAAAATCCGAGTGCTGGATTCTTTGTATCATATATCGTTGCATTCGTTGTCACGTGACCTTTAGAAACGGTGCAAGGTACTGCTCCAATAATATTTATCTTCTCACCGGATGCACTGTGTGCTAGTTGTGTTATTGGATAAACCGTGCGTCCCTCAATATTCCCCTGAGTTTCTAGGCTGGTCAGAGTAAAATCAGGTGCTGTACCAAGTTGAAGACAAGCACGTTGTTTATCATTATCTAAGGCTACATACTTTCTTAGGCAGTACATTCGTGCTCTGTTATGAGATGCCAATATTTTGTCAGTTATCACAACAGGTCTGTATTTATTGAAGAAAGGGTTTTGAAGAATGACGCCGGCGGGTTCTCTTTGAAAAGCTGGTTTCATTATGACCCGTACGATGAAATTTAGCACAACAATGTTCTTTATGTAGGATTAGATCCATGAATCCTACCGTCACAAATCAGAAGACAAAAGAAGACTGGAGAAGTGCTTGTTGGGTAAGAATCGAAGTGTACAGAAAATCACGGGTATGTATAGGCATTTGTTGGGATATTCAGGAAAATATCCCAAAAATTATCCTGTTAAGCCTAATGCTATCCTTGGACATGAAATGGTATCATCTTATTGGTCAATATTTGTTTAACGTGTCATTTTCCTACTGGCCATTATTACACAATGTTATTTTCTATTTTATGGTACGTTGTGGACTGATTGACTGGTATATAAACAAAGTATGTTTGTAATATAATGATTCATATATCCGAGGCTTAAACTTGTGTTCTGGACTCAACCGGCTGGGCTAGACAGGGAAGCGGGATCAATCAGAACCCTAGGTCGTTCTACGTGTTTGCGCGTCTTTGGTCCGATCAATAATTCGCTACCCATCTAATCAGAAGCATTTTTTCACGTTATAACACATTAGAGTTTGTTATATCGACACCATGATTCAGTCGATCTGCAGAGAGGCATGTTATGAACGTTATGTGCAATAGTGGAATGTCACGTTGATGTTCTGATTGGATGTAAATCTTAGAGCCTCTGGGTACTCCATCGTGTTGCTCGGAAGCCGTCCCAACACATTCGTGGAATGGGATTTCTTCCCTGGATTCACTTGTAGCCTGATGACTGATTTGTGACAGCATACCATTTTGTTCACCGACTTCCTGGTACAGGTCATGTGCGTCAGTATTCTTGTGCGTGTGTCGTTGATGTGTCTGACGTTTACTCGAGTGGATGATTCAGCTGATTATCTCGAGTGCGCAACATTATTTTAATACTAAGAATTCGGTTTTGTAGATCAAATTGAATCATCAATAAACTTAAATTGATATTGTTTTTAATAAATTGGCTGGAACTGCAACCGTAGTGCAAACTAGTGAACAAGTTACCACAAAACAAATGCTGCCTAATCAGACAATCATTGAACATACGAATACAGAAGAAATGACTACTGGGAATACAAACGATGAAAAACGTGTGGAAGTAGAGACGGCCAATGAACAACTGAACACAACAGAGCCGACTCCTGAACAAACGACCAAAGAGGGAGAAACCACTGAGAAATTGACTACTGCAGATGGTAAGTCCAGCCTATTTAATACACCTACATTTTTCCACTTATATATCAGTCGACAACACTATCAATCTGCATATATATACGCGAGTATATGCTCTTCAGAGAAGTAGACATTTAGTTTCATGTTATTGTTATTTTCCATCGCCATACTCTTTATTTTCACAATCAATGAATTAGTACTTGTTCGTCGTTTCACGCAAATCAATAATTCTACAGATCTTGTTATCAAACAAATGCATTTGACTTCAGTGTTTTCGCCGTGTTTATGACACATCGAACGCAATTGTTAAAACTGATAAACTGTAGACGTGACTTTCTCCAATTTTCCACAACAATTAACTAAATTTCTAGTATGAACAGCGTTTAAGTAAACATTGTTTGATATCATAAAGGGTTAAGATCCATGAACCCTACTGTTGCAAATCAGAAGATAGAAGAAGACTGGAGAAGTGCTTGTTGGGTAAGAAACAAAGTGTACAGAAAATCACGGGTATGTATAGGCATTAGAGTTTGTTATATCGACATCATGATTCAGTCGATCTGCAGAGAGGCATGTTATGAATGTTATGTCCAATAGTGGCATGTCACGTTGATGTTCTGATTGGATGTTTGTCCTAGGGCTTCTTGGTACTCCATCATTTTGCTCGGATTGCGTTCCAACAAATATCCCTTTCTGAAATGTGACATGTTCTTATTCGAGTCCCGTGTATCACCCTTTGCGATTTCTCGCCTTGTTTTTTATTCATAATTTGCCGTTAGATCTTATGAAGTAGTATAATCCGGTGTTTAGTGAAGCATATTGATTTAAAAAGGAAATATGTGAATCGATATTTCAGTATTCGTTATGAATATTGTGTTATACTTTACTGGTATTTATATCACTTCTTCACTTCATCATTTGTTGGATATCGTTATATTGCTCCATTACTGCGGAATATTCTTAACTGTTATATGTATCACCACACCTACTGAATAAACTGATCAATCACTTAGGCTTATTTGATAAAATACAAGTTTATGGCTGTTATTTGTTTATAGAAAATTATGATTCCTTTCTTCTCTTTGTATTCAGATCAATATGATTTTGAGTTCGGGGATCCTGATGTGAACTGTAGGTGCACTGTTTCCATGATTCATTTATTTATTTATTTATTTTCGATTATCGTTTATTTCATTCAATTTTTCTTTTTTTCCACTATTTTCCTCTCGGAATGAAAGCTCGTATAGTTTACAGTATCGTAATGATTGAAATCATGTATCAAATAATGTTAGAGCACCATGGTAAACCTGGGAGCACTGGACGTCGGTTGATCCTAGTATGGAAAGCCTCAGTAGTATACATCTACGATTCCGCACGCGGGTTTCGAACCCAAGAACTTCGATGTCGCGCACGAACGCTTAGCCTCCAGACCGCTGAACTGGTGTCTAACGATGCTAATGTCTAACTTCAACCAATTCACGATATTGAGCGACCGTTATTAACTATCTTCAGTTAGTAACTTCCTCATAACAGACACGGTTTGACTACACTGGTCACGTCTACTCAAAAGAACTCAAGGAAAAACATCTTGAAGCCAGTCACCAGTGAGCACATATTAATTATTGTCAGATCAACCAAATAACTTTCATCATTCTTTATAAATATTGGTGACTACATTTAGTGGAACTTTTTTCCTAATTTTCAATATGTTTCCAGATATCTTTCCTCCGTTCATTCTCATTTTAAGCTAAATTGATCTATTCATAGTTTATTATTATAATCCATTTTTACAGAATTCATAGATGTGTCAGCTGTTTAAATGGAAGATATTGCAAACGAAAAAAACACATATGATCGTTGATTGTCTGTAATCTATTTTGCTTTACTTTATGATTTTAATATATAACTTTAAAATGAACTCTAACGTTGTATTTTAACACCTGGTGATTACCAGGTGGTGATCAATCGATTCTAAATACATCTCAGTCCTACAGTAGGTTAAACGTGGCCCGGATGGCTGAGTAATAAAGTCTCTGACCGAGAAGCTGGGTGACACAGGATCGGATCCGTGAGGGAACGCCAGTTCCCTTACGATTACAGGTATACCTTGCTGATGAGTGCCGAGTAGCGCAAAGCCCAGGTCCAGGGTTTCCTGTTGACCACCTTCAAACACGATCTTATCCCAATATTTGTCTTAAATATGTTATTGTTTGTTCACAACTGGTTTGCAGTGTTCAGCAGATGAACTGGACTTCGGAATGACATGAAGCCTGCCACGAGAAATCACGAATCGAACTGTCGGCCTGCTGATACCCGTGTACTGTCGCGAGCTATATACAAACTGAAGAATTTTAGTACTCATCCACACATTTAGATAAAGTATGACGAAACGAAGGCGCCACTCAACACACCATTCGTGTACCCATTCAATGTTGTTTCAAGCAAGCAAATATTTCGTTATGTGTGAATATGGTAAGGCAAACATATAAAGTGTTGATCGGCTGCAACTGAGTTATCTAGACAATGAACTGCCGTATGCGGTATTGGACTGTTTGTCTGTAGATTTAATCGAAGAATTGACAAATAACGAGGCAAATTCTCTACACATGACCGAAAAGTTTATGTAAGCACAATTCATTATGCAACCAGAGACATCTAAAGTTTTAGGTCAGTCCTGAAATATCACCATTTACGCAATAGAATTTCGGTATATTAAACTTTTTGTATGTATTAAAGCAATAAAGGAATGAAACAAACATACTGTTACTCTGATCTTTGTAAAAACCAGACAAAAATTGTGCCGAAACATCGATATCTTTCAACAGTTGATACCCGCATATACTCGGATCATTTGCTTTCTATGCAGGAGCATTAAAGTTGCGTTCACACTCAATACATAGGAGGTTAGCTCATAAACAATCCAACGAGAACTTAGAGTCGAACACTTAACAAAAGCAGTGATTAGTCAAAAAGGAACGGCTGAGGTGAGTGGTATGTATTAGACATACCTGTGGAATCAACACACAAGGAGTAACGTGACAGTCAGACTGAGCACTGAGAGTAATATTCGAACACGACAAAGTCAGCAATTTGATTACTTTTAACTCGTGTCTTCGTCAAACAGTAAAGTTTGAGGCATTTTACAATCACCGAATGATGATAGACTTGCCCTTTGGCTGCACTAAAGTTAACGAATACAGTGGTCAATATGATCCAAACCTAAAGCTTGACATGTTGTCCCTGTAAATCGTTTTCTGAGCAGAATTAGGATGTTCTTATCTGTAGAGAAGTGTGATTTTTGTTATCTCTCGTTTAGAGGCTGAGGAATAAACAAATCACTCAGCATTGGAAGAGATTGAAGAAAAACACTTGCAAAGACCTAGCTCAGTACCTAAAATGTTACAGGTACGCAGTGCGTAAGATTACAGTTTTCTTAAATTTCTTCTTATTCAGGGCCCCCAAAGTAAGTTAGACCAAAATTTAGGACTGAAATGATTGAATGGTAACAAAAATGAAACAAGTATTCGGATTTTGACAACACTTTTAGTAGTAACAACCTTTTAATAGAAGTATTTCAACCCAGTCAAATCAGAAGTCACAAATGAAGTGGTTCAATGTTATATTTGAAAGGCTATCAGTATGTCGAAAAAAGTTTGATCTAAGCTTACTAATAGTTGAAAGGAAGGCGTAGCACGTTTGATTCGTGATATGGAGCGGATGCATGACCGAGCGCCTTCAGCTAGGTTAGCCAAGTAAAGCTAAGTTGTTCAACATCAAACGTCCAAGAATTACAGACTTACAAGTCACCCCCACTTGTGGGGTAGTGATGACCCTAAGACACGGCCGTCCAGAATTTTTAACCCAACGAGGTTGTTGTCGGTAAACACTCTTCTGATAGCTCGCTATGTTCAGCGGATTCTGGTTGTCTTTCCATACTATACGTGCCATTTGGTACAACGTAGTAATAAAAAACAAGTGCAATGAAAAATTCGATTCATCGTAGTCTTTGTCGGTTTCTCATGTTTTCCAGGCGTCGCGGAAAAGAAAACGAGGAATTGTAGGTGCATGTCAAAATATACTTGTACGTGCGTAATAGCGCAAACGAATAACGGGAATAAACCACAGTACATGCGTCTTCTTAATGTACAATAGCGAGGAAACGATTTCAGCCCAATGAGTAGTTTTGTGAAGTAAATAATAAAGTTAAGCGCATACATGAGCGTACTAGAAAAACCTTTTGGTTTTTTGACACAATGATGCAGAAAACGAGACAAAACAAAATGTTATGTTGCGTCCTACGTGCAGAGGTCGTTCAAGTGTTCCGGGAACCTTATCCTTCTTCTTGATTTAGGTCGGTTGTCAGTTACCATTGAAGTTCGTTCGTGATTGCTAATTATCTAGTAGGGTGTCGTAATTGTGGGGCTCGTGTCGTTCAATTGCACCGTAGGAAAATTGACATGATTTGGGTCTCCTTTTAACTGCGCGACTTTCAGACGGTCAATGCTGGTGTTGTCGTTAGACACGTTTTTGTCGAAGATATAGTAATTAGGTTCAAGCTAGAAGACTTTGAAAGATCTTTCGTATGCCACTATGAGAGTTCACTATGATGAGTCACGATGTACAAAGACATGTGCACTATATCTTAGGGTGGGTCAAACGAGTGGAAAAAGATTTAACTGAACACTGAGTTTGTAAGCTTGTACGTGTGAGTTTAGATCCATATTCCTTGGAAAAGACGAAAGATCCACGAATTCTCCCAGAAGTCTGGGTGTTCTTTCATAAACGAGTTAAGCTGAAGTGTTCTCAAGTCGGTATGGCGAATGCCAAGTGAAACGACTAAATGTCGGTCCATTGTGAAGTGTTTGCAGCCAAGAGTAAAGCTTTAAGTTGTCGATGAAAACGCCCTACTAACTCGTTTGCTTGTGGGTGGTAGGCGGTCGTTAGGAATCGTGTGATTCCTATTATTGTGATCAGATAACGGAAAAGTTCAGATTTGAACCGTCGTGCGCGGTGTGTAGTGATAATTGAAGGGCAGCCAAACTTTTCTGCCCACTGTGCAACGAAGGCGCATGACACAGCTTAAGCAGTAGTGTCTTTGATAGGCTCTGCTTCTGGCCATCGAGTGAAACGGTCTACACATGTTATGATACAGTAGTATCCATTTGAATTTGATAAGGATCCTACCAAATCCAGATGAACATGGTCGAAACCATCATCGGGAGTTTTGAATGGGCCATTTTTTGTGTCTAATCACCTTAGATTTGTAGCAGCTTTCATGAGAGCATGCTCAGTTCTTCAAATCTTTATTTATACCAGGTCAGCAAAACCGTTCTGCTATGAGCTTGATAGCTGCACGATCATCTGGATGAAAAAGATTGTGCTATTTATTGAAGATTTCGCGTCGACAATGTTCCTGTGGATGTGTCACACAGCAAAATTTTCCTATCTGTTCCTATCTCTTTAATACGTGGTTTCATTGTTGTTGAAGATAAATCGATCAAATTGTTGGACGGAATAGAAGTAGATTTCGCTTAACAGGCTCCCATGTCTAGTAGCAGGGGATCACCAATACCTCCAGGCAGGAACCTAGGTATGTCAACTACAGTAGATTTGAAGGAAAAAGCAAGTTTGTAACTTGTGATAAGATGTTATCCATAGTCTTTGAGAACAGGTCAAGGCCCCTCTCAAAGGACTCCTGGGAAGTCGCTTGGACTAGTTCAGTCGGCAGAGAATTCCAGCATTTGACAACTCTTAAGGAGTAGAAGTTGTATCTACAGCCCGTTCTGCTATTCTGTATCTCCAATTTTTGAGTGTAACCCCTTAGGTTTGTATTGGGACTAAGCTTAGGTAGGTGTTTAAGAGGATGTCCAGAAGTGTTGAGGATGCTGAAAGCCACCAGGTCACCCCTAATGGGTAAAGGTTAAGTGATTGGAGGCGCTCTTCACAAGGTTGAAATTTGAGTCTTCGAACTGATTTCGTGGCTCGCCGCTGAATGCGCTTCAGAATGTCCTTATCCCTTTGGAGTGAGTGACGAAATACTATATTTCCATACTCCAAATGGGGACGAATAAAACCGTTGAAGATTATGTGGAAAGCGCCAATCAATTAGAGGTGGTCTGATACCCAGTCGTTTGAGCTTATTGATATATATATATATATATGGTTGACCCTATCAAAATCTTTTGAGAGACCAAGGTAAATGATATCAACCTTCCCCTTGCGATCAAGGATGTTTGTCCATCTGTCCACGGTAGTCAGCCGGTTGACTATCCAAGAGTAAGCATTCCTGAAACCATGCTGTTGGGGTGAGAGGAAATTTAAGGACGGTAAATAGTTATATATACCATGACATATCAGGGACTCCATGATTTTTGAAGGCATAGAGAGAAGAGCCACCGGTCGGTAACTTGAAGGTTCGCTGCGCCGACCTCCTTTGAAAATTGGTATGATGTGTGCCAACTTCCAAATTTCCGGTAGTTTGCCTCGGCTTAGCGAGTGTGAGAACATTATGCTAAGCGGTGTTGCCAGGATTGAAGCTGCTTCCCTCAGTATAGCAGAATGAACCATATCTGGGCCGGGAGAAATGTCTTTTCTTAGGTGCTGCAGTTTCCTGAACACCAAGTCAGCGCTCAGGTTCATTTCGGAAAGTCCTGTGCAGTTGAAGTTGAAGCTGTCATCAGTATGGTTGATGTGGGTCGATTGGAATGTCCGAGAGTATCGTTCAGCCAAAAGGTTAGCGGCGTCGCTGTCGTTATTGGTCTGACCATTAGGGCCTAGCAGATGGTAAACTCCAGTTTCGGCTTGTCGAAGAGAGGCTGCATAACAGAATAAGCTTTTCCGATTGAATACAAATTTACCCATAAACTTTATCTGGTACTGAAGCCTGTCTTCTCTTATAGCCTTCGTGCATTTTTTCCTTATATGTTTGTGATGCCTGTAGGCACCGCTGTTGTCAGTTCGTTTGTATTCTGTCATACTCGATGTCAGCAGTGGGCTTCCTATATATGACTCCGACTAGGCACCTCGAAGTAGTAGACAGTCTTACGGAGCACCATACAGATTCATCAAGATTGTTAAACTCGAGGTTATGAACTTCGTATGCCTCCAAGAAAGATCGTATGTATACGGCTACTCCACCCCCAATGCCCGTTTTCTGTCGTTGCGAAACAAAGACATCCCAGGTATTAGTAGCCCCTGGTCCGAGAACTGAGATATCCAAGATTCAGATATTCCTATCAGATGAGCACTAGTAGCATTGTTAAGTTCACGTAGCTCATCCATTTTGTTTGGTAGACTCACGGCGTTCATGTATAAGCAGTTTATGATTTCATTATGAAACGTGTGAGCTTCTTTCTGTTTGTCTGTATGAGCCTTACGTGAACAGACAGGTGGCCTACCTATATAAAGTTTGCCGAGTTGGTAGGCTCTGTCCTTTACACGTATTTTTTTATCAAGACAGATAGGATGGTCAGCTCTAACTTTCCTTTGGGCTTGATCCTGGCGTCATGTGGCCTATTCGGGCGCATGCGGATTCCAGTTGACAACAGACGTCTGTTGGCACAAAATGCTTCCAGAGTTGCAGCCGCCATATGGAAGGATGGGAAAGTTATCCTCATTGGCCGGGGTTTACAATCACCGTCCTTTCTTGGTTAGTCTCGTCACATGTCGAGTCATTAGGTTTTTGAGCCTCGAGGACTTTTTGATGGATTTCCATTCCCTAATACCAGAGTTCACTTGAATAGGGTCCCTGTTTTCCGATGCACCTTGCACAATGATATTTCTTCCTCAGGAAAACGTCTCGCGAGATTCTTTAGGGATGTTCCGGATGAGATTGCGCTCAGAATACGGTATGTCGAGCAGTATTCTTACGTTCCCATCGGATTTCAGTAAATGACTAGCTAGCAAGACGTCCTCTACGTCGGTAGCATTCTTAAGTGTTACACAAAGTAGCCAAAGGCTCTCTTCTAAGAAGTTCAAGCTTTTTGTTCAATTCTCCTCAGAGCATCCTGTCATTTTTGTCCTGCAAACTTAGAGGAAGGTCAGGGTTGTCTTTGAGGTTCATGATTATGAGAGAGTCCTCACGAACCGTTATTGTTTTCCAAGGTTTTCAGGTGTGTTCAGGTTCAGCACCTTATTGTTTGGAGGTCAAAGCACGTCTCTTAATCCCAGACCATTTTATGACCAGATGGACATTTCTGGGGGTAGACTGTGCGGTCAAATCACCAGTTGATTTCCGTACAATACTTGGGATGTTTAGCTTACACGATAACGCCTGGTCCTTTTTAGCTCTGCTAACGTGGGTCTAATCACCAACAGAGTTATTGGGAACCACTGTTGCATTCGAGGGCCCTGAGCTGGGAGACCCGAGTTCACTGAAGGAGTCTATTACCGTCGACGTTATTGTGGTGCTGAGTTTCAGCATGTCATCGCTAGTGCTAATGCATGCTTCATCGATAGTAGACCTGTCAACATCCCTATTCTTGTTTTCGTTGCGCGCCCTTGTTTGTCCACACGTTTTATGACTGTCTTTTACCAAGTTTGCTGACAACTTATTCCGCAGACCTGTCAGTAAGAAAATGATGTTGCTCAGTAAAACTACAGCATCCGTGTCGCACGTTACACGTAATCACTTATGATCCGACTTGCTGAGTCTGTTGTAAGTAATTGCTGTGAGATCTGTGGACGCTCCATGGAACCAACCTTTGCAGTTGTCGCACTGCATCCCAGATATAACGACAAAACGGTGTCCAGGTCGTTTGCATGAATTTTCTATGACTGTGTTGAGGTAAACTGTATTATAAATGCTAGCAAAAGCCTAAGACCGTTAAAAAATACGTTTAAAAGCACACTAAAACCAGGCAAAAATGGATAAAAACGGATGAGATAAACTGAACTAGCCTTTACGTGAAAAACTGAAAAAAAGAATAGTAAACTGAACTAAAACCACTGTTAATTATTATATTGGGTGAAACTCGAAAAAAGTGATCTACCGAACGTGTAGCTCAGAATAGATTCATTAGATCAGAAATGGTACTTTTGCTGCGTAACAACACAGGAGAAGTTTGGGAAATGTAAGTAACGTTAGGACTAGGCTTCCCGTTTGAAAAGCGCGGCCAGTGTTTTCTTTTTGAAGCTGGGAGAGTTTAAGGTTGTCTGTTCCTTGGAAACTGTTCAAGGAAGTTATGCGAGACAAAGCGTCTGCAACAACACTTTTTGCCCAAGAAATGTGTCGCATATCTGAAATAAACTGTGAAATACAGTCCAGTTGTCGAGACTTTTGAGGGGAGTATTTGTCTGAAGATGAGCCTACAGAGAAGATGAAAGGTTTGTGATCGGTGGAAATAGTGAATTATCGGCATTCCATGGAATGTTGAAAGTACTGTTAACGACAATACATGACTAAGAGTTCCCTACCAAAGGTGCTATACCTCGGTTCAGTGTCTAGCAATCGACTCGAGAAGAATGCTAGGGTTTCCAGTTGTCATCTATCTATTGTTGTTCTGAATGTTGTCAGCAGTCATAGGAATTTGGATACATGCTTCAACCAAGTCGATTTTCGAGAAAAAGTTGTACCTTTCAAGGTAGCTGACAAACAGTGAATGTTCTGTAATGGGTAACGATCGAGGTTAGTTTTGTATTCAGTCGCCGATAGTCACCAGTTGGGCACCAACCTTCGCCGTTCTTTTTGGGGGCCATATAAAGGTACGATGCCCATGGGCAGTTCGATGACCGAATGACTCCATAGTCTATCATGTGGTGGGATACGTTTTAAGCCAACATCAGCTTCTTTGGAACTAGTCGGCAAGCTGGTGGTCCTGTAGTCGTGATTGCTGGTTACGCACGCTGTTTTTGGTTACTTTAGGTATGGTTTTGGGTACTTGCTGATCATCCGCTGATAGTATGGGACGATTGCGTGCTCAACAATAATTGGGGACAATCTATAACCAGAAAAGTAAGCTGCACAAGCAGATTAATTAGTATTTTCGTCCACTAACCTCCGTTCCCGCGAGTCGCCCTCATTCAGAGTACAGAAAAATAGTATTCCTTCCTCACTCCAAAAGGATAAAGACACTCATGAATGTATCCAATGGAGAACCACAAAATCAATCAGGGGACTCATACAAGTCTGATGGAGAGCGCTTTCAACCACTGAACCATTACATATTAGAGTACAAGAATCTTAGAGGTAACCTAGTGACTTACAACATCCCAAACACTTTTGAGCACCCCCTTAGATACCTACTTAAGGTTGGTCCCAACACAAACCTTAGGGGGTTACACTCAGAAACGGGTGACACGACACAGCAGAACGAACTATAGACACACCTCCCACTTCTTAAGAGTAATCAGATGTTAGAATTTGCTGCTGGCTGGGCCAGTTAGGGTGATTTCACAGGAGTCCTTTGAGAGAAAACTTGACATATTCCTAAGTACTAAGGATAGTATTTCACTGCGATTTATCAACTTATTTCTCTTTTTCCTCTATTACCGTTAATATAATTAGGTTCCTACCTGGAGGCATCGGTGATCCACTGCTAATTGATACGGAAGCCCGTTAACTGAAAGCTTCGATTTTGTCCAGAACCATTTGGACCATTTTCATCTCAGTGCTCAGTTCAACTGGTACGTTACTTCTTGCGTGTTTACGGTAGTTTCACGTAACTAGGTATAAAGTCAAACCTTTCACCCAACGGGAGTGGATTTTTAGTGACATTGTGGTATAAGAAAATGAAGTTTAGTCCTAGTCTATGAGACAGAAACAACAAGAAGCGAACGCAAAGGAATCAGTCGGTTTATATCAGCTCCTCACAAACAAATTGGATATACAGGGCCTGATGGTAGTGTGCTCAATAATTCCTTAGCTTAGTGTGATATATTTGCTTTTTACACATGGTCTTGATGCAACTATGAGGCTACTTTCTGTTTTGAATACGAGAAATTCTGGGATTTAGACAATCGCAAAGTCACCTGGGAGTAATACGTCTTGTGTTTCTGTTGGCTTTGTGAATTTACTTTCTAGAGGCAGCCTAATAATATCAACTAGTTGGTCTGCATTCTCCTCAAATGCACTAATAATAGCTGTATTTCTTACTTTGTTCACAAATATCTAAAGAAAAGACATAAACACAAAATCAATGTCCTGCTATGGTTAGGCTTTTACAAAATAATACAGCTTACAACTAGTTGATTACATGGTAGTTGCCAAGTTCAGGTTTGCCTGGTCACCCAGTGATTATTGGATTCTAGTGAAAAAGTCACAATTTGGTTACCAGTCTAAGTGACATGATGTCTAAAATCAATTTTTAAAAAAAAACAATAAGTTCACTTAAACTGAAATGTATCTTGCGATGAGCTCACACAAATATCATAGATTCTTCCGTATTAATCACTTTAAGTAGTGGTGTATCTATATAGATTTACATAACGTTTATATTCTTGAACTGATTGCAACTGAAAAATTATTAAAGAACACTACATCACAAAAATCATTAAATCATAGGAGTGCTGATGTATTGCTTAACGTGTTTGTCATAAATAGATTAATCGGACTACTGTTATCAGGACCTTCATATTTGGGAGTGTAGAACTTTTTCTGATAAGATTTAATTGATATTTCTACTAGTCATTTTAAGAATAGGTAACAAACTAAACATCAACCAATATGTTTATGTCTGCCATATAATAGTAATTTAAGTTGTATTTGTTTCTTTTAGATTGTTTTTGTGCTTTGATTCGAATCTCATGATCGTATTTGGAAATTCCCTTCGTGTCAGTCATCTTACTTTTCTTCCTAAACGTTTTCTGAGTATAAGTCAATTAAAAGAAAGAAGTCTTATATGCGTTCATGGCACATCAGCCGATGAGTTTCTACAAGGACTTATAACAAATGATATAAAATCTATAAATCAACCTAATTCATTCATGTATTCATTGTTTCTCAATTCGAAGGTATATTTCATTGAATTTCCTTCCTGTCAGATAGTTTTTTTCATTATATATTTTAGGGTAGAGTTCTAACTGATGCATTTATCTATCATACTAATCGTTTATCGACTAATCAGTCTGATTATCTTGTTGAAGTTGACGTCAGTTGCGTACCTGATATGGTTAAACACTTAAAGCAATATAATTTACGTGGGAAAGTACGTTTCACTTCAGTGTTATTTGCTATATTTCTCATCGCTTTAATGTGATTTAAAAATCGATTGCATGAATTTTTCGATCACTTTATTTGACGTAAGTATTTATGGCCAATTATAGTATTTAATGGTGACTTAACAGTACTTATGATTTAGAAATATTACCCAAATAGCTTATGTTTAATTTTGATTCGGATCTTCTCTACCCTGATTATGTAGCTGATCACGTCACAATGGCTTAGTGGCTGGAAAGTTCGACTTTTTGTAACTGTCCCAGATTCAAACTCCGCCCCACCTACTTTGGTTTAAGCAACTAGGCAGTTTCGTAACCCCTAACACTTAGTGAGTTATTAACTTCACTTACCTCGTGTGCCTAGCCAGACCTGATATAAAAGTAATGCTCAAAATCTATGAAAGTATAAAAATAAGCTCGTTTAGCCTTTGTTGGGTGATGCTACCTTCAGTACGAGTAAGATTCCTGTCTAACTGTCGTAGGGTGTGTGCTGTGCAGAGGTTTACTCTCTATTACTTAATGGCTGTGAAAAAATAGCCTTTGGAAGTAATAGATATGTGTAAGTTGCTAGTATTTGATGATAGAATGATTGTAGAATAAACGTTACTCGATTCTTAGTATACAAATATGTACTTCTAGTTTATCTAAATACCTTGTCCCACATGTTCATTTTCTTATTTACCGTCTTAAAGTTTATTAATGAGAACTATACATTCTGAGATACTAAATTTCGACATACATCGACCTTCTTTATTTGACCATTCAAATGTTTAACTGTTTATTTTTTTCAAAAATCCATTCTTGTCTATTGTAAATAACATTTGTATAGGTTAAGATAGACGCCGATTTATCAGTGTATCCTTGGGTCGCTATGCCGACATCAAGACACTCGAATCAACTGAATAATTATAAAGCATGGTTACCAGTGAATTCACCTGATATTAGTGATCAACAACAGTTGATATTTTTCGCTTCAGATCCTAGGGGTATATCTGGTTGGTCTGGACGCATACTGTCAACATCTAGTACAAATGGTAATTATTTTGTTTAGATTTTATTAAAGATCAGGTTTAATGTTTTCGAATTTTTGTTGAATAGTTTCTCAGCATTTTAGAAAAAACTGTATACACATAACTACAAAAATGAATGGCCATATAAACTGACCTAGGCATCTTTAACTTTGAATGACAGCAACAATTGATTTGATTGACTTACCGATTCGCATTTGTACTAGACGTGGTCATAATTTTATTTGTCATTATGTCTTGTTATTTATGGTCATGTAATGAGCTGGACTTTATCATGACCACGTTGTATCGTTGCTAAAAAAACATTTATTTTTTATTGATTACATCGAACATCGTCGGTGATTTATTATCCCAATGAACATAAACATGTGGCTGTTAGAATATTCTGACGTTGAGTCGGCTGTTTTTTTAAGCAAATAGAGACTTGATGTGCGAAATTCTATCAGAATTTGTTACTAGACGATGTGGCATGCAGGGATATTGTAAATAAGGAGATTCTGACTTTCATTCAAAAGTTGCTGTTATTGTGCTTCGCATATCTCTAAGTAAATTTTTTTCGTTTCGATATGCTACCTAGAGAAAGTATTTCTGATCTTGAGTGTGAAGACGACATTGTTTTGGCATAGTGAACCACCTGCTTCGGTTTGGTCACCCGGGCAGTATCATAGCCCTCACACAAATCGAATAATTTGTGTGGCGCATATCTATTTAGTGCCTTCTTGTACCAATGTCTGTATGTTTAAATCAATAATGTGGTAAACTGAGTATCGAGGTGCGAAATCCAATAGAATCATTTGCTTGTGTACTCCCTTTCTGATAGTTTGTTCGAAGTGTTTGCTAAATTTGTGTAACTAGTATCGCTAGTGGCAGGTATTTGCTACAGTGATATTCAATTGCAATCAACGTTAATCTTAGGACAATTTAGACGGCATAGATACGTAGGTTTAGCTTGAGCTTAAGTAATGTCGAAACTAAGGTCTGGTAGTCCATTCAGGGACAGCGATGATCAATTGGCGGCATCGAAACGCTCTTGTCGTGTCACTGCAGCATCTTTTAAACCAAATATTGGGTTTGGACGTTGGGACATGGATATAAATGAAGTAGTGGTTTGTTTTCGGCATGATGCGTGAAGCAAAGAAGGGTTTGTAACTCACTAAAGTAGATGATCTATGTTGAATTTTTGGGGCCCTACTCGAGTTAGACGGGAATAGTGTGACCAATAGCTAACTTCCAAGTCACACCTCGTGTTCAGCAATTAACGTGGTTTAGCCCTTCGTCGTATCAAGGTACTATTGCTGCTTTGAAGGCCGTATAACACAAAGGACGTGATTATAGAAGTATATTAGTTAGAGTAGGTACAAGCAAAAGTGTGACCGCCACCGCCACGTCAGTCCATGGTGTACGATTGATTAATGCGCGTTGGTTATCGTTATCTTTGACCCTAAAGATAGTCGATGAACCGTTCGAAATTGAGTGACCTAACTGTCGGATGGTTTGGCTAGGGCTCAGTGACATTTTACTGGCACTACAGGTTGTTTTGGATTTGGATTAGGTAGTAAATTGCAGTATCTCAGATGAATTCCAAGTGATCGAGCAGTACAGTAGTCTTACAAGCTCTAAGTGGTTATTCAAAATCGAAACCGTTTGCAATTTCGTTCATTTCTTGATGCCGTATCCTATCGAATTTCTTTATCTTAAAGAAACATTAAAATGTCATATCTGTTGGTGGTTTCGAATTGACCAGGATTTTATTTTCTAAATTAAATAGATGGTCAACTAATAAAGCATAGTACAAATTATTAATTTTAATCCAAATGTGTGACTTCAGTTCCTTTGTTCTCCAGCTCTTTTCCATTGTCATTCCATTTCTTTTTCCTTATCACAAGTCACTAGTATTTTCCCATCATGCAATACACAACCACTTGATATAAACCTGTATCATAATGCACGTTGGGAATTGGGCTTACCAGAAGGTATTAAGGAATTAATTACAAGTGATACACTACCGTTCGAAGCGAATGCTGATTTATCCGGTGGAGTTAGCTTTTCCAAAGGATGTTATATTGGTCAGGAGTTGACAGCACGGACACACTTTACTGGAGTTACTCGGCGAAGATATGTGCCGATTAAAATAGTGTCGAAGGGGAATATTGATGTTTTAAAAGCATCAAATAGTGTCAAGTGAGTTTAAACTTATCTATCTCTATATTGCACTGCTTATATTCTTTGATCTCAATACAATTACAGTTTTTAAGATGCGTTTGGTTGTCCATAAAAACCACAACCTCTCAGAATGATGACACAGTCAACTCACTGGTTAGACCTGATATTGTTTTTGCTAATAAGACACTAAACGTCAAATGTTCGTAGTGTCATCTCATGTTTCCTTGATAAAGTTTTCTCGTCTACCTTAGTTGAGGGGTATACTTTTTGTATTTGGATAAGCAGAGATTGTTATTAAAAAGTTTGTTAGTTATTCGACACAATTTCATCAGTTTTGTTAAATTAAACTCACTAATCTATTATGTTCCCAAATTTACTGATAAATAGTGGCCAGCAGTGAAATCCAGGACGCGCGTTTCGTCCTATTTTGGAGTCGTCAACTGGATGTACATGCATCTCAGAGCTAATGTTTACTCTGAGACTCGAACCCAGTACCTTTCGCTTCAAACCCTATTGCGTTATCCACTTAGCTACTGAGTCCTAATAACCACATGCTTGTGCAATAGTGTGAAGTTTTAAATCCACTTGATATTGTTTACTTGAATCCTCCCATTGTTATTTAGGACTGTAATTGATCAGTCCCTTGTTGATATATGTGAGTGAACATCAACCCTGAGATGCAGGTACATCCATCTGACAAGTTCCAAATAGGACGAAACGCGCATCAAACTGGATTGCACTGCTAGCCACTATCCATCTTTGCTCATAAAGCTTGTGACCTAAGGAAATATCGAGGCAGTTCGCACAGGATGCATATATGCCAATAAGAAACCGATCAATTGCAATCCTAAATAATAATGGGAAGATACAAGTAAAACAACACCAAGTGAATCTATAAATTATAAGTTTAAAGCCAGTTAGCTACAGGGTTTTTAGAGTAATTCTTGTGTGGAACGTTTTGCCCATACTTTAGACGTCATCCCTTTCAGTATAATTTCTTGGGACAAGTTCCTATGTGAAAAGTTTCACATACTAATCACTGTCATCAGTTCTGCCATCTAGACGTCTTTGACCAAAGCATTCTATAGCACCGACCTTAGACGTTTAAGCTAATCGGAAAACATTGGTAACAATTTGTAGTACAAAAATGACTAAATTACATGGAGCAACGTAAGGAGATGCATTGCCATGGTAGCCGGTGACCAACGATTGGTTCATACGCCATTTGTTCCTTCAAAATACTGGAGACCATGTGCACCATTGGTTTGGAACCGGAGTTTTCCAACTCCCCTAGGTGGACTCTCCATGTCTACTAACCCGGTTAAAGTGCCGGATATTCGCTTTTCATCTTCTCATTTTCGTAAACAACACCCCCCGCCACAAGAAGGCAGTGAATAGGACTTCCCTGGTAGAGGCTATATACGCATGACCATATGAGAGCATTTGGAGAGGCAGAGCGGACTCTCCGTACTCAAAGCTGTACCAGGGCATTCACTTATATATCTACCGCATACACTACAATATCAATTGGTGATAAAAAGTTATACTCTACACTTTATTTTAATTTTATAATGATGAATATACACATACACAAAAGAATGATTCATTTTCAACTTTTTCTTTCTTTCTTTTCATTGAAAATATTTCTATAGTGATTTATACAATGCACCAATTTATCAAATGGATAAAAATGAATTATCAAAATTAAAATTAATTGGATGGATTCGAAATGTAAATATGAATAATTTTATTATGATAAATAATAATGATTATAATGAGAATGATTTAAATATTGATAATGAATTAATCAATGGTATAGCATTGATACGTTTAACTGATATCAATGAACAACAATATAAACTAGTAGTAAATATCCCGATTCATACTGATTGTGATCATCATCATCATCATCATCATCATACTAATAATGTAATACAATTAGATATTATTCCATATATACCATCATGGTGGCCTGAGAATATAGCACCAACAATTAAACGAATTACATGTACATAAATCAGTTGTGTTTTCCTATTCTATTAGATGTTATATAATCTTATTTAGAAAAAAACAAACAAACTATACTATGATGTTTTTGTTTCATTAATCATTAGTGGTGGTAAAAAATTAGTTGACAAATGATGATTGATTATTTAAAGTGAGACTATAATTTCTGAATGAATGAATTAGATATAAGATAACAGATCTTGGATTTTGACGTGAAATTCACTCATTCATCTGACCAAATAGAGGCATTCTAACTGATATCAGTTCGTGATGAAAACTCTAAATTGAATTTCTAATCTTAACCATCAACTGTAAATCATAATTCGAATTCCTTACACTGGTTTATAACCTTCATTTGGTCCTAGTTATTAGGTGAACACTCCCAAGGTCAGTTTAGCGTCACTCATAGGTCGTCCATAAATTATAGTCTCATTGATCATTTTCATGTTTGTTGTAACATTACTCACCAGAATGAAAGGTATCACCAATAGGAGAAATTCGTTATCTTTGAATTAAGGTACCTGGTTTTTATAATTATTGTTACTGGATAGACCTTAAAATAAATGCATATTAGGCTCAAGTTGACATACTTTACTTGACATCGACTGGGAACTAATATAGTATGCCTGTAGTGAACGAGAACATAAGTGTGGACAATCGAATATACTAGAACACAACATTACAGCACATCTTAGTAAAATCTGAGGACTATACAGTGAATACATACATAATCCACCATCTCGTCTACCAACATGGCTCAGACTAGAAGTTAGTGACTTGAAGGACTGATGCGACGTTTTAGTTTGACCGGCCCTAACTTTCTTCCAACCATCCCTAACACTGGTCAGTATTGCGCGTCGTGATAATCGGTGTTTAAGCATACGTAACACGTGGTTCAACCATCTCAGTTGATGAATATTTACAACCTCATCAACTGATTTACCATCATTCCCTAATACCATGTGTCCTAACTCACTATTACTTACGCGGTGATTCCGTGAGATGCGAGTAATATTTCTGAGACATCTGTGATCAATTACTAGTAGTTTGCGAGTATCTCCTACTCTTAATGGCCATTTTTCGCAACTGTAAAGTAGAACAGAACAAACTGCTGCTCAGTATACTCATCTTTTTATTGATAGATCGATATCTCGTGGATTCCATAGTGCAAAGTGCGTTAAAATTCAGGATGCTTTTAAAATAAATGGCTTATATATAATCCAAATAAATAATGGTTTCTTGGTCGTCATTCATCAAACTGTACATTCCAATAATAAAATTCTTATTATGTTTTGGGATTTAGTCACACTTGTTCTAAGTGGTACAATAACCTGGATATCTGTAATCAATTGAGTTGAATGAGATTAAAACTTATAGTGTAAAGCTTGTGAATTAAGTGCTCAAATCGTTGATTAATTTCACTATAGTCAATCACTTCGATTAGCGTAGAGTTTGACGCAATTATTCGTTGGCGCATATCGTCATACATACCACATTAGTATGAAGAGATGAATTTAATAAAATCAATAACAGAAAAGAGATCAAAATAATAATTTAGGAGACTAAAAATTGGGAATATGTTCGAAAAAAAGCATTAAAGTACATATGAAGGACTAATAGAATTCATGATTGAGAGGAAGATCAAGGGTGATAACAGTATAAATATGTAGAGTACACTATGATTTCTAAAATTTACAAAGTTAAATTGAACTTTGAAGAAGAAATTTTATGAGAAGTTCATGTCAATGTCTTAAAAAATAAGCTATATTGCTTAGCAGAGCTGAAGGTCTCATATGAGTTTGGAGGTCCGATATTGATATTGTGGATGGTTCGGCATTACTTTGGCAAGTTTTGCTAACTGTTCATGCACAAAATCGGTTTTCTGGTTAGCCGATTTCATTCATACTGGTGGCTGCTTTTCAGGGTTTTCAAGTGTCATTGGAACATTGTAAGACATGTCGCCATAGCTAACATGAATGAGTTTGACTGTCGTGTAAAAACGGAATAGGTCAACTTTGGCCTGTCCGCCTTGTGCATAATTGATTCACGCGATCATTGATCGAAATAATTAGATATGTGATGTGAATGTGTATACGAATGGTCCATCACGGTGCTTGGTACCTGTGTCGTTGCGCCCCAGGATTAAACTGTACTATTCAGATTGTAGCGTTAAAGCCTATATGGGGTCTGGTTCTCCTGTGAAGCAGGATTGAGCTGTACTTCTCGGGTTATAAAGTTTAAGCCTGGGTGGTGTCTGGCTCTCCTGTTGAAAGGGATTGGGCTGTACTGTTGGGGTTGTCACTTGAAAGTCCGTATGGTGTCCGGTTCTCTTGGAAACCAATGTAAAACTACCCTGGCCCACAACGACATATTATATATAACTAACTCTTAAGAAATGTGTATGCAAATTGCAGTACAATGAAACTAGTGTTCGAAGTTGAAAGAAATCGATTCAAGGTAGAAATGCAAATCAAGAGACTTTTAATTTACCTGTCTGTTATTCTGCCAACTAACCTTAGCACTAGTTTAATACAATTTATATTGAGATGATCAAGCTAATTAACTATTGTGGTTAGTTGAGTATTCTTCATTAACATAACAAAACACTCAGTGATCAAGGTAGAATTGGGACTCAGTTGCTAATCTAACTTTGAGTGTCATTCAATAGAAAGCCTTGTTTGCAACCCGTAACTGCTATTATGGTCTTATATCTCAGCTTCCTTCCTAACTTAATTCAATAACCTATATCAATAAAGGGTCTTACTGATCCAAGGTATTACGAAATCCCACTAATTGTTTATATGTAATTTAAAGTTCTCCGTATATTTAGAAATATTTTATTTTGCTGAAAATGATGCGTTACCTGTTACTTATATGACAATAGGTTTCACTTAAATCGACAGTTTTCATCGACCGGATGTGTTTAGATTTAATACAAACTTCATTATATGAATAAGGATATATTCACAGAAGAATATTAACCAGGTAATGGTCCTTTTATTGTCCGATTTGAGCTTATCAATAGGTCCCTGCTTTCTTATCAACCCTGTCTTTTATTACTAGGTGGACAAGAGAGTAGAAAAATTCTGTATGTGAAGAAGGTAACCTGTTAATTTTGTCCTAGTGTGATCTGCCGTCTAACAAACTTAGGAACAAACAGTTGTTTTATTCGAAGAAGTAGGTTGTCCGATTGAAACTTGGATTTGACATTTTCAATATGATGGCGATAAGCTTATAAGGTTACATTAGTCCGTTTCTATGAAACGCTCTAAGTGTTGTTCTAGTCACACTGACAATGTACTAGTGAAACGTGTTGAACTAAACGAAGTGCTTTCAATTAGTTATATACCATTCAGCGGTCGATAAGAAGTTAGTCTATCTTTGTTGTCTGGTCGTCAACTATACATATCAATAATGGATTGGGGTGATACAAGTTATTACAATTAGTCCTACTATAGGTCTTTACGTTTTCCAAAAAAACACACTTATTGCATATTAGATGGTGGTTGGAGGTAGTCAACAGGAAACCCTGGACCCGGGTTTCGTGCTACTTGGCACTCGTCAGCATATACGAATATTCCATTTTTCTGTAAGTCACAACAGTACTCAATACATTTCTAAATGATTAGAAGACAACGCAATACTCTCTAATCTGTTTACAACTCGCATATCTAACAATAGAATTCGAAAGAAGTATTTCTTCTTCTTTGTGGACATTAATCACATAGGAATAGATCGTTGTCAATATAGGGCCTATAACCTGTAACATTCATCGTCCCATTATCAATATTATTACATAAGGTAAAACAACTAGATTTATATAATATCAATCATAACTATATAAACAATATTCTCTTTTTTCTTTCTTTTTTAAAGAATTAAATGAAAACGATATCTTTATAAATGTCAAATATGATACAATACAATGTGTAATTCATATGAATCAATGTTTGTTTTAACCTATTGACATATTACATAGAAGACTGTATAATATGTTATTAATTTGGTAATATATTTGAAAGATTATGATGTTTAACTTGCCTGTTCATCTGATGTATTTGTATTGTACTTGTAATCTGTAGATAGAGTTTAATAATGAAAGAAAAAAGCATTGAGATATTGAGTAATACAAGGAATATACATATACAATATAATATACATACTTATGCATTAAGTGATATATACCATTTAACATTCTAAACACATTTGTTTAGTTTTTGATGGATTTTTGTTCTCTGAGCTGGATGGTTTGGTCGTGGAGCTTTCATCGTTCTTCTGAACGACATCATCAGCACAAAATTCAGATAGAAGTGAAGTGTTCGAATTTCTCCATATGCGTTTCACAGCTTGTTCTGTACACCTTGATGTTGATTGGTTCTTATTGACCTCAAATTTGTAATTGTTTACTTCTTTGTTTCGGTTGTGTCTCCCATCGGTTTGATTTCTGTCCCTATATTTGTGCATGATTTTCCTGATTGGTTGATAAATTGGATTGATTTCAATATGCTTGTTGATTGACCTGAGTGCCAGGCTTCTAAAAACTTTCTGGTGTTTTTGGAATTTCCTCTGTCTAAGATTTCTAAATTTTTCCTATCGAATGAGTGTTCGCAGTTGTCCACGTGTATTGATATAAGTGATGAGATATCATGGCGTTTGACTGCTAACTGATGTTCATATAGGCGAAGGTGAAGGGGGCGTCCGCTTTGTCCGATGTAGTGTTTTTCGCAGTCGGGACAATTTATTTTGTAGATGATGTTTGATTTGTTTTCCTTTGTTATTTCATCCTTCGGTTTGCATAGGATTGATTATAGTGATTTTGTCAGTTTGTGTGCCACACCTATCCCGAAGGTTTTCAGCAGTCTCGTTGCGGTTCTAATATGCCTTTTATGTATGGTAGGGTGATCCTTTTGTTGATTTCTGTGCTTGACTTGGGTTCTGATGTTGCGCGCGGTTGGCATTTTTTGATTAAGTTTATTGAGTAGCCGTTCTTTTGAAATACGTCCTTCAGA